AGTCATCTTTGATGGCTTTCCTTGGGTTTTTGACCCCTCCTGGTCCCAATCAATCCCAAATGGGGTCCCTTCCTGTACGAGGCGCGCGCGTGCCTCGTACAGGAACATCATCAGCACAATTGGGACCCCACTTTGCCCGCTTTCAGTTAAACTAGAGAGAACAGGATCTTCAAAACCTAAAAGAAAACGAGGTAACAAGGACATAACTTTTTTGTGTACTTCTCTCAATCAGGAGTGTCAGCAGGGCTGGGGTGGGCTTGGCCTTCACTTGATAGCTGGGTGGGCAAGGGAGCAGCGGCCAGGCCGGCACCTGCCGCCAGGCCCTAAATATATTGTCGAAACTATGACGATTATGAGGGGACAATGGGCGCCTACAAGAACTTGCCAAGAGAATATATGATGTAAAAACTCAGACCCTGGTACGGGCTTAGGGTTTAGGGTTTAGGGAGGCCTCTCTCTATTGAGCGTATACCCTCTTTAGACCCCTATGACCCCTATAGGCTGCCAGAAGTCCAGTATTGATGGGGACATTCAAGATCACGAGGGATTTCTGGCAAACAAAGGTACAGCGAGACTAGGTTGGCGGCAACATGGGAGTTTCCCAGAATAGGGAGACCCAAACATAGATCGCATAATACTATAATCCTTGTATTCGCGATCCCAAAATGGGACCCCTAATTTTGGGAAACCCTAATCCCTATATTCCCCTAAATGATCCAAGTTTCCATTTGATTTCATGTGCCATCTTCTTTTTCATGTGATTCCCCATTATGGTAGTTTCCATTCTCTTTTCCATTCCCCAATATCCCTAAACCCCCAAAGAGCACCTCTAATTTGGGGAACCCCGCAATGCACCAGCTATCATGTCAAGGGTCCAGTTGAAGAGGACAAGCGTTGCCAAAGGCATGGGAACCTGCATTGACAGAAGGATCATTGAGCTAAAAGATTGGCATCATGTACACATTTACTACTTAATAGAATTTGAAGGCTCACCTCCTGTCGGGCTGAAGAACTTGACCGGCATTCCGACAACTGCATGAAAGAATATCACGGGCAAAGAGCGGGATTTCGCATTGTTCATGCTCCAGCCAAGCAACCTCCTTGCGCTTGGCTACCAACCAAATCCTCAGCAATGCATTAATGGATGGAACCATGCTGAGCAAAACGCTTCTCCTACAACAAGGACTAGCGTGATGGTGCTGGTCCATGAACCCCTTCATCGGCAGTCGCCTTTTCAATAAACGGTCCTTTACAAGCAGACTCCTGATCTGCGGAAACCTCCATGGCCAGCCACATCCACTTTACCAGCAGCCAACATGGTCCAAGGTAATTAAGGCCCATGGAATTTCTGTCGTCATAGTCATAGATTACAAGTTACGGGCCGCCTCTTCAGCAATCAGTCCCTTCCGGACTCTCCGGGTGGCATAAGCCGGGATACTGCGGTACCATGACAATGTCGTCAATGGCGAAAGCAGCAGACCAAATCACATCACCCAGCAGTGAGCCGCAATCCTTGCAGGCGGAAATCCATGCGGAGAAGCAATCCTATCATCAGCCTGTGCTGATTGCCCTCCACCTTTCACAACAAGACTTACCAACTGACCATAGGTACAAACTGCAAAGCAGATATGGGCAACATGGGCGCAGTCGCAGTCACAAAGTAGCGACAGGAAGAATTCATTTCACATTAGCAGTGGGTCTATAAGGGTGTCTGAACATAAGCTTGCGAGGGAAGGCGCCCCTTTGCTCAGCACGGAGAGCACGAAAAGGCCCACTATGATCAGCAGCACGGTTTGCCGCCTCGGCTTCCAACACAGCAACAACTTTCCAAACAAGGAGGTTGAGTCACCTCATCACGTGGACACGCTGTCTTGGGAAACTGCGACATCTCGTTGGAATCATCCTCTCCTGTTGCCTTGGAATTTTGCGCACTGCATGGCGTTCTTTGCAGCTTCTGCGTTCTGTCTCGGTTGCCGGCTCTCTTCCAGCTGTGAATCTTCACGGAGGCCCAAGCCGTCAGTAGGACCTGTATGCGACCGCAGCGCAAGCACAATTTCAATGCACCCATCCGCTCCATGAATTGTCTTTACGCTGCTTCTCCTGCCTGCAAAGCGGTCAGAAGCAAGAAGAGCATTGTGCTTCCCAGCACACCTCTGTCGGGCACGTAGCAGTCCTAGATAGCCAGGATTCCAAACAATTGTTGCACCTTCATCTTTTCGGCTTCCAATTCCAATCTTCCAATAAAGTGCATGATAGCACCCTGGAGAATCCAAGGAGCATATGGAGCAGGGTGAAGTAGAAAGCCCAGAAGTTCCAAGCAGCTACTAACCTTACAGGCAAGGCTTGCAGAACATGCTCAAGACACCGTCAATACTATTGATAGAATTGATGCGCTCAAGGACATTCAACGGCTCAGAACCCCTCAAGTATCTGATCGTGCCGCTGTGTCAGGAATTCTTCGCACCCAGGAACCAGACCCAGGTGAAGGGAAAGGCTGCTGATGCCAGCTGCAAAGGATGCCGGCCAATGCAAATGATAGACCAGGGCGGCGTATCCAATCCTGGGCCGATGAAGCCTTTGGTTTTCATGAACAACAGGATCCCAGTTGAAGAATAGACATATTCCTTGAGAGAGTTGACGGACAGTGCGGGACAGGACCCGTAATTCCAGCACAACATGGTTCGGCCTTTTGGACAGTTACTTTGACAAATTACTTCGAGAAGATTCAGGGGAGACAGCCAGAAAGAGCGGGGGTAGCAAAATGGTGCCAGGCGGCGTCAAAAGAATCTCCGACAGGTTCTGCGCATAGCTGGCCGGGTCCCCACGCACATATCTGCTAACCGCAGAGGAAGCCTCATGTTTTCAGTCAGTGCTGGCCTTGTATCTGCTGCAGGCGCCCAGACTAGCTTTGTGTTTTCATTTGAAGCCAATGCTAGGCATAGCATACTGCAGTGCCGTCATGGGTATTGTCCCGACCAACCCACGGTCACATAAGATTTACATTACACCTACATACACATATTTTAAGTGTATGTATATATATATATACACACTCATATCCCCCGAGTATTAACCTATTACAGGCTGCTACCTGATGGGGGGACATGGGGGGACATGACCCAAGTGCTGTCACTCATGATGGCTTCTTTTAAACTGGCGCATCAGGCCGGCCGAAGGAAACTCTGCATGCGGAAGCTGAAGCAGGTTAGCTGTCAGGGTTTAGCTTGTCACCAAGCAACATAGTACATCAGGATCATGATGCCCAAGGCCATAGCAGAAGAGCCGGCCATGATCTGGACATCGCTGAGGCCAAGCAGGTGCAGCTTGATCCTTAATTCAACTTGACGGTCTTGGCCTATCCTTCTAGCTGCAGTTCAGCCTACACCGGCGAAGCCCAAACCTAAAACCGAAGACAGACTCAAAAAAGAGGAAAGGCTTCTGCTCGAACTGGACTCTGAGGGAGGCCATCTGACAAAGGCCACATACGCCATCTTGAGCAGTGGGCCGCCATGGGTGTTCTGCAGCCGCCATGGACGCTGCTGCACGGAAGGATTCAGGCCTTAGGGTCCTGGGTTCAGGTCAAAGGGTTTGGAGGTCCTCTACATCCTCTTGCAGTTGATGTACCAGCATGCGGGCTGTAGCTGCATCACAACTCAAAAGGTCAGTCATAAAGCTACCGCAGTCGCAGCTGTTCTCAGCGGGAAGATAGAGACTAAGCGCGCACACCGAATCTAAGCTACCTTCTGCACAGCTGCGGGAGGTTGCTTTCACGCATGTCAAGTTATGTTTGGCATGAAGCAGACAAGAAACAAGGATCTGACTAGCACATTCATCGCTTGCCAATGCTTGGACCCTAGCTACCTCAAGATGACTGCAAGTCAGGCTTGGGTGAAGCCAGTGGGTGTGTTGCATTATTGGGGATTGTAACAGGACATGATAACCTGATACATTACTATAGATAAAAGAAAAAAGATGGAAACTACTATAATATCCCCCCATTATATACATTATTATAAATATAGTAGTTTCCATTTTGTTTTCGGCAAAAATCCGAGCTTCGCACAATTCAGCAGGCGAGCAGCGATGCCTGTTTAACTGGCAGCTGGGCAAACTTGAGGAGGCCATGGGTAGTTGGATGGACACTCAAGTAGGTTCAGGGTTTAGGGTTTAGGCCTGTGAATCCAAGATGAAATGCATCACCGGTAGTGGATGGAAGTCTGAACCTCCTTCTACTTCATAGCGTGCTCCAACCAGCAGAGGGGACTGCTCGTAACAACCCGTAGTAGTATTCAGCCATAGCTCTAAATCTTGACGCGCAAGCTATTCACAAGAAGGAGTCAGTCGGAAACCAGTCAGCAAGGATGAGGGGTGGTAGCAGGAGGAGGGGTAGTAGAGGAAGTGCACGCAACTTGCGGATGTCAAAATGCGAGCCGCCTGCTGTGGTACCGATGAGACCGCTCTCCTGATGCATCACCTCAGCCAGCTACTGTCCGGGGTGCTCAGCATGGAATTAAAGAATTCCCCCCTCTAGTGACAGTGACCTCTACATAGTCCAAAAGAGGAGTTTCCATGATCTTTTGTTCCCTACTAAGCAGGCAAAATTGCCTTCGCCTCACATCCAACACCGTAAGCACGTGCCTGTCAAGTCCGCAAGATCCCTTTGGCTCAGAATGTTGGAACTAAGTATATGGGGTTCGTATTGGAATGATAGGAAATTATTTGGCAAAGAAAATGGGCAATGAAATCAACACTGGGCTGGTTGAATTAAGGTCGATTTTTTAGGGAATCTTGATTGAAGGCTTCAGTGTGTAAGAATGTGAGGTATAGGGTTTCAAATCTGGTGTCTACATCTTCTACCAATATGGTAGTTTCCCTAAAT